GCCCTTCAGATTATTATTTCCATGATAAAATGGACTTCCATGGGTTTAAACTTGTCGTGTTTCATGTTTCTTGATCATCACAACCGAGGTACCGATCCCAGTCGGTCACAGGAGCTGCTGAATTGGGTATAAAATTCAGAAGTGAGTGCTACTGAAGTTCTTATTTAATCTTAAATTTCCATCAGAATAAATGGAGTTTAAGGACTGCTTAGAGTTAATCAGCTGCTTAATCATCCCTGGCTCTTAGAGGCCTCTTACCAATGAGAAGGCTTCATTAGCAGTAAAACCCCACTGTACTCCTGTCCCTGAAGTGTGGGTCTAAAGTGGCACCGTCAGTGTTTCTGGAAAATACTTGCTAATTCTGACATTTCTCTCTGGAAGAGTAGGTGAAAGTGCACACGTGCAGAGGGTTTTATAAGATGGGAACTTAATATCCTAAATATATCCTGGATTGATAGATTATGATTTTTTTTTTTTAGGTGAAAGTGCACACGTGCAGAGGGTTTTGTAAAATGGGTACTTAATATCCTAAATATATCCTGGACTGATAGATTATGATTTTTTTTGGTGAAATATTAGTGCAAGGACACTAAAAAGCAGCTTGTGATTATACGAGTGTTCACAAACAAACTCCGACAGGAAAGGTTGGGAAATCTCAATAGCTCCAGGGTAATCCATGCTCTTAAAGATCTCAGAACATGAAAAACATGCCTTTCAAAAGTGCAAATATAATGATTAAATGGTTTTAAAGAAATATTTTTAATACTAGTAATAAGCAGTTGACAGAAGTACAGAATAACTTTCTACTTTTTGTTAAGCTGGAGTAGGGAAAATATCTTGTTTTGCCTTTTTTTCTCCCTCCTCTCAGTTTGGTGCTTTATCCACTGAGAAAACTCCTCCCTGTAGTTCCAAAGAGTCTGTTAAAAAAGATAAGTTTCCTCAAAATCTTCCCTACCACTTCCTGACCTGTGACAGGCATTTGAGGGTTAAATGTTGACAGCCATTCTTTGAAAAGCAAACTAATAAATCATACAGTGTATTGTAATAAACACACTTCTGCTGTACCTGGAATTAAGAGGTTTTAGGACTCAAACTGTCAGAATCCGGACATTGTTGGTGTCATTTTTAAGCTAATCCTACAACTTTGCTGAATCTCTGTAGGGTGGTGCTTCAGAGATGTGAAGTTTTGGTTTATTTGTTGGGGAAAAAAAACCTATATAATTTTTCATTTGGATAGAAACCCTGGATCTTAAATTTAAAAAAAAAAAAAGCATCTTCTTAATTACAAATACCAGGTAATACTTCTGAAAATAAGCTTCAAGAGTGTTTTGTTCAGTGTATCAGAGTTCTTAATGGGTGTTTATGTTGTATGAGAATGCAAGTAATGTTTTTTACTAAAATGTTACGATTTTAATGAATTTAGACCATACCAAAAGGTAGTGTAGTTTTTTTGGAAGCTTGTTTTCGGTTTCAATTCCTTGTGAAAAATTCCATTTAAGCAGATAATCAGAATGAATTAAAAAAATATATTGGCGTTTAATGTTAACTGTTTTCTAAAATTTCTTCTGAATCGGGATTTGTTCAGAGGAGTTTTTTCCTCAGGGAAAAAAAAAAAATCCAAAGCTTTTTTTTTTTTCCTGAATCTTGTGGTGGTGACTCTCTTTGGTTTTCAAGTAGGTTTTGTTGAAAGGACAGAATACACAAGAGCAGCACCTTTATTCCCAAGTGTGTTGTTCTTGCTGATGAACTGCAAAATTCAGTAATAACAACAGCAGCAAATTGTGACGTGTATTTTGTTTCTTATTTTGACAGACATTTCCTAATGAATTACTATTTTTTGTGGTGTGTTTTTTTTTTTTTAATTTTTTTTATTTATTGAAGCAGCTCACTAAGAGCCAGCTTTTAAGCTCCTCAGAAAGGAGAGCAGGTTGTGTGTTTGGGGATTTTTGTGTGTTTTGTTTCAGGGGGGCAGAGACTACAAAGGGTGGAGGAGCTAAATTCTGGCGTGCACCCGAGGACCTTTTATTTTCTTATCAGTTCATATTCTTTGTTTGGAAGACAATGGGGTTGATTCTCAAAGGAAAATGCAAGGAATTTGGTTTAGATCATTCTCCAAGCGGGGTTATCTTGCAGCATCTTCCCTCCTTGGGTGGGAGGTGTCAATCCCCCCGTGGTTGGCATCAGGGGAGCCTGAAGGTGCATCTGAAAGTCCCTGGGAAGCGGCGCAGGATTATGATGCAAATGTGGTGCTTTTGCCCCTGTACCTGCCCGGGTGTCAGTGTCCTCCTCCAGATTCATACTGAAGCCTTCCCCCTCCTCCTCTGATAACAACTTCACTAAGCTTGGGGGAAGGGAAATAACACCCTTTTTTTTTTCTAAGTAAATAAAATGAAACCTGATTTTTTTTTTTTTAAAGATTTTCAGACCTATGATGATGTCTGTGCTTTAGGTGACAAATACGTTACCTGGTTGATTAAATGATTGAATTTTATTCAAAGGGTACAAGTAACAGACTCTGTCCCACTGAAATGGGATTTTAACAATTTTGGTACAAGCGCTAAGGCATTACTCTGCTTCATTTTGCTCCTTATTTAAATTTACACTCCTTTTTTCAGTATTAAAGTCTCTGCAAATGTGCAAAACGTCGCAGGCTTTTAGAAACAGAGGTACTTTCATTCTGGTTCTTACAGTTCTTCAAAATAGCTGCAATCAAATGAATGTTGTGCACTTAATTTTTAGCCGTGCTGACAAAGGGGAAAAAAAGAAAAGCCAAATAATTTTAGTGAAGAAATTTTGAAATCCTGTTGGTGCACCAGGATGTCCTCAAGGCGCCTGAACTTGGGTTTCATGTCTGTGTTCTGTTGATTAACACTAATTGGGCACTTAGTTCAGTTTTTAGAGAAAAAAAAAAAGAGGTATTTGAAGAACCATTTCTGTTAATCATTCATCTCTCATCATTTAAATATTCCTCATTTCATAATGATGCAGGAGTTTAAAAGTAAACTATTACCTTTCCGAAGCTTTTCCGGGCTTCAGAGCGTCATTTGAAAAAGAAACCTCAAAATGTAACTCATTTTTGAAAACGGTGACTCGTCCCGATCAGCGAGTCATGAGGACAAAATTGTACCACGAATAATGTCGGCTTCGGAGGGGACGGTTCTGAAAACCTGGAAATCTCTTGTAAAAGTTGACACACTCTCGTGTGAGATGTGTAACAGTCGGTGGAGTCTGGGACAGAGCTTTTGTCTCGGCTCTTTTTATTTTTGTGAAATTTTACCAGTCCAGGCACAGGATTTACTCACCCGTTTGTATCATCGTGATGGTGAATCATAAGAAAAGCAATCTTTTTCTTGTAAATATGTTTAAAAAAAAAAATTACTTGCCCCCCGGCTATTGAAGGGAATGGATTCAGTGGAGAAGAGTGAGCTACTTTGTTTCTTCAATCTTAAATTCTTAAGGTTAGAAAGCTGTTATTTTGTGATTGGGCCTTATCCTGGAAAAGGCAATATTGTGTCAAAGCAGGAGGAAAATAATCGTAGAGGTGTAGCCCCTGGTCGTAGTTGCTGAGAGAGGAGAAGGTCAGTTTTCTAAAACTGTGTGTTTTGTGGTGTCTTCAGTGTCTTTTACTAAATCCTCCCTGGAGCAGGAGTGTGAGGAATCAAAACTGTAGGGCTGAAACTTTGGTGACTTTTTGTTGTGTAGACCATCGTATTAATTTCTTTAGATTTTAAAAAAAAAAATTAAAATTTCCATTTTCTGAACTGAAGATGAGGTTTGTCAGCAATAGGACCACTCCCGGGGTTGGGAGCGGTGGTTGGTCCATGGGTGTGGATGGAACCTTGGGGGTGCCATGAGGGGGGATTCCTTCTCTATAGGATTAATTTATTAAGTGTCCTGGCAATTATAAAAGCTCCTCGGACCTGCTAAATAGCACAGTGTGTAGATTTAAAGAAGAATTGCCCACATTGTTTTTGATTCAGGTCTGGGGTGGTGTTTGCAGGGTGGAGGCTGGAGCTGCTGGGGGTCTGCCCAGAGCTGGCACTTTCCTGGGGGGGGGGGGGGGGAACACCCA